GCAGAGTTGGTATGTTCAGGGTTCCTTTATCAAATAGGAGCATGCATCAAGAGTCAGGTAGCATCCGCCCTTTGGCATAAGATTCTCCCTGAAATCCACATGACTGCCATCCTGATGTTTTTCTGTATGGTTTTGAAGATCTGGCCAGCCTTTGGATTGAGAAGTATGGGGCACCTTGTTGGATATGTTTTCTCTGTGATTTTGTATAAAGCAGTCAGATCCTATTGTGTTTCATTTTCTATTGTATCTTTAAGGTTCATTATATGGCCAGCCACCCAAGTCAGTTTGCAGTGCAGCAGTGTCCAAACTGAATTAAATAAATAGGTCTGGCAGCAGGATTAAGTGTCTGGATTTGCACTGAAAGCTACAGCATGCATGCATGCACCCTATCGAATTAAGTCTCTCAGGTATACTAGTTACATTAAAGTTGATGGAGCAGTATTTCTAGCAATTTTTAGTACTGAACTATAACTTCAACTTGGATATTAAGGAGCTAGATATGAAGCAGAGGAAAGTGGGAGTAAATCAGATTTCTCTGCAATGCAGAAAAAAAAAAGGGATTGATTTACACCTTGCTAAATTTATATAGGATTGTAGGACAAGAACTTCCAAAGCACTCAAATATCCACATTTCATCCTAGTGGGAGTTCCTCTACCTATTTCCCAGTTATTTCCCTATTTTGCAGTGCAGAGCACATACCCAAGGAGAAAGCCGTTGTTCTCAGAGAATCCTAGGTATATCTTCAAATAGCCTTGTAAAATTTCAAAGATTACACTTCCATGCTTGTCTGAAAAGTGTACTGATTCAAGTTCTATTAATAGAAAGTATTGCTGAGCTGAAGAAGACTGAATATTATGACACACATACACCCACACATCTGTGTTGTACATTTCATTACTTTATGAAGATAATATTTTCAAAGGAAAAGTGCATACAAATGCAAAGAATAGAATCTTTTTGCTGTGGGGAAGGTAAGTCCAGCTGTCCTCCCCTCTTCTTTCTAACAAAATATCCACCTACATTTATCACAATGATGCATGCAGTTGGCTCTAAGGAGCTACTGCTTTAAATACTTTGGACTTTATTAAATATGCCACTCTCAGATATTTCAGTGACGTTGACACTGAAACTGTGCTGCTCCTGTACCACAGATTTAAGCATTTTTATATGCAAGTGGGTCATGGAAAAGCCCAAGAATTTAGAATCAAGAGAACAACTTGGTTGCTCTGGTTCTAAGTTCTCCCAGTTACAGATGATTTGTGAATATGCAAGTTGCATATTCCTTCTGCAAGACCTACATGGTGTGAAGAAGCTTAAGTCTAACTCTGATCTATGTCACACAACATTTCTCACTTCCTTCGTATCTGAACTCCAGCCATTTACACCCTTCTCTGTCTTTTTAACAATCTGAGCTTAATCTTTATGAATGTTGCTGCAAGCATTTAACCATGTACTCCAAAACTTTTCTAACAACTTTAATATCGCCTTTATTCTTCCAGACGTCGTGACCCAATTGTGCATATATTCTTTTTGAATTACCCTTTGTTAATTTTGATAAATGCCTTAGGATTGTAGGAACCATTTTTAATCAGCATTCCAAAAATGACTTCTCACTTGCTTTCCAAAGGGTGCCTCATTAATGTTAAGAACTTGAATAGCACCCAGGAGGAAGTTGTCAGTTAAATTCTCTTATAATACTCTAAATCTCTCACATAAATAATTCATTATCATAGTGGGTAGTTGAAAGATTTCACTTCTAAGAACTTTTTCAAAGTGTGAGAACCCCAGAAGTCCCTTCTCCCCACCCCCCACCCCAATGTTTAACAAGTTGCTGTAGTAGAATGAAACCTTGGTGTGATAAAAGAGGAACAGAATATATGCTGCTTCTAGAAATAATCACATTTTATCTTTGGAAATTTTAAAATTAGCGACATGCATTCCAGAGCTGGAAAATAACTCACAGCTTTAGTACTGAATGATGATGATGATGCTTATTATGTTGATGCAATTTATCTACATGTGCTCTTTGCTAAATTTTTGTTTGGTGTATTGCTGTTCTATCACGGATGTTGGCATTAGATTCTTAGTTAAATCACATTCACTGCTCCTTCTACCAATGTAAAGCCGAAGGTTGAAAAAAAGTTTGCCTTTTGTTACTGTCTATGAAAATCACATGCTTTTACACCCATGCCTTTTGGGTTTGTCTACCGATATATTTCCATTGTCCTGCTCCAAATGAAGCCAAAATGAACTTGGCTCCCGATTACTGGGTGGTAGAGAGGGAGGGGTGAGCGAAGTTTGGTAGTCTTGGAACAGTGGCAACCTACCAAATTAGATGATGTGGAAACAGGAAAGTCAGGGAGCAAAACAGGGAAAGTGAGGCTTTAATTACAGGAAACAGCCAGGAAGTTTTAAAGTACTTAACATACCCGGAGGGCAATATACTGCCAAACCTTCACACATCTCTAGGATCTAGGGATGGTTTCAGATGTATTCCTGAGAAGGACTTCTTTTTCAAGGGCTACTTAAGAAATATTCATAGAGGAGAGTTTAAGAAAGTAAGGTTCTTTTCCTGCATTTATCAGTGCGTAGTGCAAACAGATGACACCAGTGTTGCTGTTTTGGAAAAAAATAGATTCACAAACTCTGCTGCATAATAGTTAAAAGGCTTATATGATGGAAAGATTATGCAAACATAGATTGGGGAAAAAAAGCTGGGGGAGGAGAAAAGCCAACGGTCTGAAATAGCTTTCTGGGAGAAGCTTTTCTTTCACAAGGGTTTTAATCTCTTAACAAATTTGTTATGTTATATTGCATGTTATTTTATTGGGACTCCTACCTAGTAAATACCATTTGACGCGAGTCAAAAAAAAAATGAAAGAGGTGCAAAAAGTTTACTATTCAAGATTTTCACTGAGAGAACCATTGAGTCAAAACTTCAGATTATTTTAATCATTGTCACATCATCCTGGGAGATTTGCATGCATATTTTGATTATACGGTTTGAATTAATATTCTGCAATACATCTGACCATCTTGGGTAAGATATTCAAGACTCAGTATGAAGATGAAATTGTTACATAATCCAACAACAAAAATAAAAAACAACTCAATGATACTGCCCTCCAACAGCAGCAATTAGTTATAGCTGGAAAGGCAGTAATTCAATTGAACCAGAACATCAGCTTGCTGTCTACAAATTTTAGCTGGATTTTAATTTGGCCAAGAAGTGTAAGAAATGATACACACAATTATACTCAAATATAGCCATTTAGCTATATAAAACAACATTTTTCCTTTATTGGAAAATTGGGGTAGTAGCATTAATTAGCCCGAAAGGGGAAAAAAGCATTTAAATAGAATACTCAACTGAACATTAGCAACAAAGGGACGATAGTAGGTGAACAATAGTGGAGTAGATTATAAGTAATAAATGATGGAACACAGTCCCAATAGCAGTGGTTAAGACTCTTAAGCTAAAATATGTAATCTCTAATACTTTCTAATTTTTTTAAACATATAATTTAACAAATATGTAATACTTTTCTAGGCTGAATTGCAGGCAGTGAGAATGAGGTTTCTTAGCCAAATGAATAATTGTTCATTACATAATTTTAAATTGATTTATTTTGTTAATTAAGAAAAATATTTTCTCTTTATTGTGTTCTTTTATAATGCAGAAACAACAGAAGACGGTAAGGGGGGGGGGAATCCCAGAGAGTAGATATTTCTTCCACCCCAGTCATCAAACTTCATTCCCATTAACAAATCAAGAAAGCTTAGCTCGTTTCTTTGTAGCTGGGAGTTGCTATTTATCTATAAAGTTTACAGACGAACAAATTGTGGCGGCAAAAGGAATTTAGATAATGACATGGAACATACATATTAATGTAAGTTCCAATACATTGCAATAAAGGTAAAGGTAAAGATTCCCCTCGCACATATGTGCTAGTTGTTCCCAACTCTAGGGGGCGGTGCTCATCTCCGTTTCAAAGCCGAAGAGTCAGAGCTGTCCAAAGACACCTCCATGGTCATGTGGCCAGCATGACTAAATTCCAAAGGCGCACGGAACGCTGTTACCTTCCCACCAAAGGTGGTCCCTATTTTTCTACTTGTATTTTTACTTGCTTTTGAACTGCTAGATTGGCAGAAGCTGGGACAAATAATGGGAGCTCACCCCATTACGCGGCACTAGAGATTTGAACCGCTGAACTGCTGACCTTTCGATCAACAAGCTCAGTGTCTTAGCCACTGAGCCACCATGTCCCATTATACATTGCAATACAAACTCCAATATTGCCATGGTTAGATCTGTATGCTATGGGGATTATAGTATGCATAGACTGAAGAAGACCGGTATATGCCAGCGTCAGAATTTTGTAGTTCTCTGGGAAGCTGGACTAAAGTTAATTTAGAATCTTGAAACAGTAGCCAGGCAGGGAGAGGCGATTAGTTGCAGGAAGGATATGTACCGAAGATGTCTAATCCATGATCCAAACCCCTCTTATGTTTATGAATCATAGAAAGGAAAAGTGGAGAATTAGTAAACTGTAAAGTCCTTTTTAGCTCAAATCAGCTTTCAAAAATCCAAGAATAGGGATAGGAGCGAAGAGCTGGCCCCTATCCAACCTCACACATGCTATAGCAACCCAGCAGACCTGAGAACAAGAGCAGATAATCTGGATGGTACTTTTGACCAGTTTGCTGAGTATTAACAACTCTCTGTTCAAAAACTATCAATTTATGTGAAAAAGACCACATGGTACTTATGAAGCATGAATTCAAGCCAACCTGGTTAAGTTTTTCATCACCTCTCACAAAGATGTGGAGAAGGCAATAACATCAGAGCTAATAAAATATCTGAGAGAGAATTCTTAGCATATGGATACACTGGCCAGAAAGTATGTTTAAGAGTAGAGAGTCAATGAAACGCATTCACTCAAGGGTTTTTCACTTCATTCATGAAAATGAATGAAGAGTATTGAATTAGAGTATCAGCTGGCACAAAATGGAATTTATTTGAAGTATGTTTACTGGAAAATACAAAGAACTATTGGTGTTCTCGGAGCAATACCATGAGCGCAACAGAACAATTAAAAATGTGAAACTGTTCACAGTTAGTAAGAAGGAATGTGTATCAAAAAGTCATATTTAGAGAATTGCAATGAAAGAGTGGCATGAGAAGGATATAGTACACATACAGTCATAAATCATGTTGATCAAAGTATTCATAGCACATTTTCACAGGACCAAATATTTAATTAATATTTTTCATGATTGAAGGAATTTTTGCCAGCGTAGTTTGTCCAATATTTGCCTATTTGCTTGGGTTCCTAAAAAATATTAAAAATATTTTAGTACATCAAGAGGTATTTCTTCGATTTAAACAACAGTGAATACATCAGAATATACATAAATAGTATCGCCAGCAATTTAATAAGGCAGTTATCCAATAAAAAATAAATCAAGATTAATCCGATGAACCTCTATTCTTGATATATCCATGCACACTTCTGGTAATTGCTGCCTTGTTTTCAATCCTTTTGTGAAGGATTTAGAATCTTTCCAAATATCAGTATCAGACTGATTGGGTATGGAGGAAAATGCTGACTGGGTTAATGCAGAAGCAGAGGGCTTTTTCCAGCATCTTGGCTCCTTGTCTAACTAGCTATGGCCAGAGAGCAGACAGTGAATATTTACTTATTTAATTATTGCTACATTTATCTCTTGCCTTTACCCCAAGGGCAAAAGAGCATTTCCACCTCTAATTTTCCCCCCCAACAGTTAATTGGTTGGGGCTGAGCTTGGGCTAAGAGAGAGTAAGAGACTCTAAGTCACCCAGTGAGTTTCCAGGAATGAAGCGGAAGTTGTAAGTGGATTTCTCCATTTGTAGTCCAACCTCTTAACCATTATACAACTCTGGGCTCTCACAGATGTTAGCTCAGCTGCCAGTGGATGATGTTTATTTATTTACCATCAATTATTATGTCCCCGACTCAAATACCTGTAGACAGCAGGTACACCTGAAGATATTTTCTTTGGTATCTATCAATCCCCTTGTTCCTTTTATTCTTAGAGAAATAATTTTAAAATGGAATCAAATTTAAAATATTGCCTTTGGCAATATATTAAGGCAATATTTTAAGGAAGATGGCTGCCTATCGCTCACTATCAGTTTGAAAATAGGCCCCCTCAGGAACCAACACCCCACCCCCCCAAATAAGATGAGGTGATAGGAAGCATTTAAGGATGATACTAAAGCAGGAAGCCACTTTGCCTGTTTCCTTTCTTCTAAATGGGTGTTATTTGATTAATGTCCAGCAGGGCAGCCCTGACTTGACAAGTCCTGGAGTAACTATTTATGAGAAGATCCAGTACAGGTAGTCCTCAACTTACGACCACAATTGAGCCCATAATTTCTGTTGCTAAGTGAGGCATTAGTTAAGTGAATTTTGTTAAATGAATTATCACCTTCCTTGCCATGATTGTTAAGGGAATTACTGCCGTGGATAGGTTTGTAACATGGTTGTAAAGTGAATCTGGCTTCCCCACTGGTTTTGTTTGTCAGAAGGTTGCAAAAGGGGATCACATGACCTTGGGAAACAGCAATGGTGATAAGTATGAACCAGTTGCCAAGCATCTGAATTTTGATCACATGATCATGGGGATGCTACAAGGGCTTAAGTGTGAAAAATGGTCATTAAGTCACTTTTTTCCAGTGCTGTTTTAACTTTGAACGGTCACTAAATGAACTGTTTTAACTCGAGGACTACTTGTATATGCTTTCAAAATATCCATGTGGCCACCAGCCTAGAAAAGTTGTCTCACTGGGAGCACTTACGTGCCCCTGGTAGCCCTGTGAATTATTATTAAATAATGAAAAACAGAAAATAAATTAAAAAAGAAAAAACCTACTATTACAGGATGGTAAAGGGCTACATCTTCCAGAGATAAAGGCATAGCAATAATGTCCTTCTCACCAACAGCAGTTGATTTCTCATCTTCAATCCTGTTGGAACCCAATAGTTGTATTAGTAATTATATCTTCAGTTATCATCCATTTATCATGGCGTCATGATATAAAGCAGCACTGAGATTTTGTGTACTAGACACCCTGTTTTTACATAATAGGCAGTCCTCAATTCACGAACACAACTAAGACCAGAATTTCTATCGCTATGAGTTGTGGTCATGCAGTGTGATGCAGTGGCGGGTTTCAAAAATTTTTACTACCGGTTCTATGGGTGTGGCTTGGTGGGCGTGGCAGGGGAAGATTACTGTAAAATCTCCATTCCCTCCCCACTCCAGGGGAAGGATACCGTAAAATCTCCATTCCCTCCCCAATCCAGGGGAAGGATACTGCAAAATCCCCATTTCTTCCCAATCAGCTGGGACTTGGGAGGCAGAGAATAGATGGGGGCATGGCCAGTCAGAATTTTTACTACCGGTTCTCCAAACTACTCAAATTTTCCACTACCGGTTCTCCAGAACTGGTCAGAACCTGCTGAAACCCACCTCTGGTGTGATGTCACATGAGTGCATCGCTTAGCAATGGCAATCTTGGCACATCCCACTGCCATTGTTTAAAAAGTTCCACCAGTCATTTGCTGAGGACTCATCCCAATTGAAGCCATTCTGGGCTTGGTTCCTTCTCCAACTCCCCCCACTAACCTTTCTCCTTCCTACCTCTGCCCTTTGGGCCATTCTGCACCTTGCCCTGAACCACAGCTAGCAGCCTCTGAACCACACAGACTTAGCGCTGCTTGCCATGTTGTGGGCTCAGAGGCATGTTGGCATGCTACAGTTCTGAATCCCAAGCCACAGTGCAAAGCCACAGCCAATCCTGGAAGCCTCAGTCATTTTAACAGCATGGCAAAAAGCCATAGGGCCCCAGGAAGCCCCTGCAGAGCACTGCAAAGCTGCAGCATCCTGAGAAACCTCAGCTATCCTAACCCAGAGTCACCCTTGCCATCCTGGACTGTGAGGCTCTTTCTGTCCTGCGCTCTACAGACCTAGCTCACCTTCACCCATCTTCTTGCTCCCACTCCTGATGACATCTACCTCCCCCTGCCTTTTGCAAGACAGCTATTGATCACGTGAGGCCATCCTTCCCACGAAGCTGTCATGGATGGCCTAGGGAAGAAAGCCTTGTGTGACCAGCAGTTGCTTCACGAAGGGCCACAGCAGGCTTGTTTGATCAGCAACAGGAGCAACAGGATGGCAAAAGTCAGGCGGGCAACAGAAGCCATGGAGTGTAGAGGACCAAAATGGCATAGACAGGAGGAAAATAGGCAGGTAGGGGGAAATGTAGTACTCCTTCAGTCATAAGTGAAGGTGGACTGCCAAGCACCTGAATTTTCATCACCTGTAACTTATGACCGAATAAATGGTCATAAGTCAAAGACTACCTATGTGTTGCTGATACATTCAAAAAGCTAAAGTCAATCAGCATACAGTAAATAGATATTAGAGCAAACACAACAGCAAACTTTAGAATTTCAATCCCCAAGTAAATGAGAACTATTAGTCTCGGTCTTACCCATAGTGTGGTTTACTCAAACCATTTCTAATTTAGAAATTACGGTAGGTAATTTTGTTCAGTTTCATAAACAAATCACTAGCATATGAAATCCAGCATCTTCATCAGCAGTGATTCTCTAAAAATGGTAGATGGATATTTTTTGCATTGAGCTTTACAAATAAATTCTATAAAACGATTATTAAATTTTGCCTCTCCCAAATTGGTCCATTAACAGGATGTGGCCAATCAGCAATCTTAAAGCCAAAAAAAACCTTACGTATCAACATGTTTCTCTTGCTTCAACAACATTTTCTTTTCTTTTGGAATTCTGAGCACTTTGGGAGAGTCTTTCTGATGCATTTCTTGCTGCTTTGCATGAATTAAACATGGAATTGTGTTTTCTTCTATTACCATCTTATTGCATTTCAGTCTGGAATGTTCATGACCATTTGGAAACAAATACTCCATCTTCAAATAAAAAAAACAAAGGGGTTTCCCCCCCAAAAAAAGTCATTTGAAACAATTTTACCCTATTAAAAGTGAACTTGAATATTTAACACAATTTTTGTTTTAGCCATTTTATAGGAAATATCTGTGTTTTGATATTCTTTTGTCAATGGGTTTGTGCAATGATGAAAAATATATGAATGCTAAATTTTTATTGCTAGTTTTCATTTTTTTATTGCTGTGCTCATCCAAAATATCATCCATAGGAAGATGCAAATCATGAAAAAGTATCATATACAAAAATCAGATAAAGTAGCTTTTAAAACTCATAACAATATGTAAATCATACTAATCATGTTGTTGTTAGCAATATTATGTTTGCCAAAAAAGTGAATTTTTAGGAGGCCTCTATAACTTTCCAGTTTATTTATTGTTGCTAGTACTATGTTACAGTCTTCTCTCTAGGCATCTTCAAGTCATACATTTTACCCTTTACCAAACTTTCAAAATATTATTGGCTCTGACGTATAGACTATAACTGCCCGCTATCCTGGAATAATTGATCACATTGTCATGATTGGAAAATATAGAGATAACCTCAAATTTAAAATATACTGACTTCCAAAAAGCATGGCCAAAGACAGAAAATTGTGAAGACCATCTGGTGGAAGCTTTAGTCTGATGTCTTCATCAGAAATTAGCATTCTTACCTTTCTCTTAGCATATAAATGGTTGACAGGTGAGCTTTTGAATATTCAAAACCAAATTCTGAATATAAAATATCCCTATTAATACACTGTCATTTTATTTCTGGAAATGCTTTTCTAAATCATATTGTTATATTTTTTATATTTCATTTAACATCAAAGACAACAACAACAAAAGTCATTAGGAAGCATGTATATTAATGATAATCTACAATAGGGGTGTCAAAACTGGTGGCCCGTGGGCTGGATGCGTCATGCATAGATCACGCCCACCCCAGCGCCGTAAATGGGAAAAACATTGGGAAACGTCACGTGACGGCAACATGACACCACGAGTTTGACACCCGTGATCTACAATATGGCTACAGGAAACATGTAAATATAAATCTTAACACAGAGAGAACAAGATTGATACTAACCAGATCATGGACACTTTGCCCTTTCCTGACATCTGAAAACTGATCATTTTGCTTTAGGAGCCTGTTCCAACAGTAACCAAAAACAAAACAAATTAAGAATAGAAACAGCTAGTATCTCCTTAAAGCAGGGATCTCCAACCTTGGCAACTTTAAGACTTGTGGATTTCAACTCTGGGAGTTGAAGTCCACAACTCTTAAAGTTGCCAAGGTTGGAGACCCCTGCCTTAAAGGACAAGATGCTTCCTAACTTGCTTCAGTAGCAATTGTTCCAGGAAAATAAGGACACCAAAGATTGGTATCGGTACATTTGAAACTGGCCAAGAATCTCAGTGTCATCTGTACAAGGTACTTCTATACATTTTTTAAAATAGCTCATTGGCATCATTTTTTATATTAAAGAATCCTGAAAATATAATTAATGCAATGCAAACAAGTTTTAAATTTTCATTTCACCTTTTAAAAAAGAAATCTAATAATGTTCTTGATAAGCCGAAGGGGGAAAATGTATTACAAGTGAAACAAATCAGAAGAACTATTGATTCTAGCACTGTTACAATGCTGTTTATAATTATTTTCATCTGTTCTTATGCTAAGACATTACTCACTTTCTCCACTGTGAAATATTTTCTTATCTGGGAAGGATGTTTCAAATGGCCCTTTTCATTTCCCGCAGACATAATATTAAATATAGCTGGTATGGTTAAACCAATATGTCATATAATTTTTTTCCCTTCAGGTTCATGCAAAGAAAACCAAACTCTATAAAATGAGCCTCTCCATAGCTATACTAATAAATAAATGTAGAATAAATCAATTTATAATATGGCATATAGAAAACAAGTGTTGATGTGACATTACATACAAAAATAACTTAGCTACCATTCATGTTTCTACTGATTTCAAAGACCACAGTTCTTCTCTAAGCACGATTTGGATATGTCAGGTACATTTTTTAAAAACAAAGTTAAATATATTAATACAATCAAATCTTTACTTTCTCCCACTCTCCAAAAGAATAAAATGCATATAAATGCCTCCTTTGATAGTCTTGCAATTCGGCTTTCTTGAATTTGTTAGAGCCAATTTGTAGGCTGCTGTATCCTCATTTATCTGTCTGCTGAACACAATGAGCCCCACATTCTATGGACATGACAAGACACATGTTCCTCTTCCTACTTTTGAAAGTGCAGAAATCTACTTCAATAATCGGGTTACAGTGATCAACTTATCTCTGGTTCCAAAGTGGTGCAAAAGTCTGATGTTACTTGGCCAACTCTTCCTGAGAAACATTTTAGACCAGGGCTAACCAGGTGTGGTCCCAATGAATGCAATTAAGATATTTAAGTACTTTCATCCTGATTATGTGCCACCAGATTATTGACTTTTAGTGACCACATATTTTTTTCCAAGATGACCTGTCCACAAGAACCCCTTCAAGTCTTCCAATGATGCACCTATGGCTACTGTAATTGTGTCTATTCACCTCATCATCTTTTAATCTTTCACTCCAGTAAGCTCTTTCAAAGCTCGAGCTATAATGTTAGAAACTTTGCATGGATTCTAAAAATCAGTAACAAACATTTGTATTAAACAGAGCAAAGCGAAATGCTCTAATAATTATAGAGCCTTGGTGGCGCAGCAGACTAAAGTGCTGTTAACTAGCACCAGCTGCCTGCAATTACTGCAAGTTCAAATCTCACCAGGCTCAAGGTTGACTCAGCCTTCCATCCTTTCGAGATAAATAAAATGAGGACCCGGTTTGTGGGGGCAATAAGCTGACTTTGTATAAAAAAGAACACCGCTTTGGGGGGGGGGGGCGAAAGCCCTACAAAGCAGGTATATACAAAAGTATGAAGGCTATTGCTTAACGCATTGTAAGCTGCCCTGAGTCTCCGGAGTAGGGCGGCATATAAATCGAACCAATAAATAAATAAATAAATAAATAAACAAATAAACAAACAAATAAATAAATAAATAATGCCACATATTAAAACTCACCTCTTGGACAGTGCCATTTTGATAAGGGAAAAGTAATACAAATGATCCAGACGATGAAGATGCATTTCATGCTTCCTTCTTTTATCTGATTCCTTCTGTCAAAAAAAAAAAAAAAAAAAAGAGTCAGATTTGCACTAATCGGACTATTTGTTTCTGGAACCCTGGCTTTAGCTTAATGCCATTTATTAGAGAGAAGATAGGGCACTGAGAAGAAGCTGACAATTTCAAACCAGTTATGTATTCATTTTATTGTCCTGATGACTGCTCAACTCCCCCACAAACAATTTAGATCTTTTTCCATAATTGGCATGCAGTGCAGAAATTCAGATGAAAGCATCCTAATCCAGCTTCTGCTGGAGCATATTTTATGAATGAAAGTCCCCGCCTACTCTATTATCAAACTCACTGTTTGGAAGCTCTTTCTAACATTCCACTGAAATCTACCTTTCCCTAACTTAAAAAGATGATCCCAGGCACTCTAGAATCAAAGGCAGTTTTAATTTTGTTCCAGGTGATGTCCTTTCAGTTACTAGCTCTCTCATATTCCTACCTAGCACCATCATCTTTCCCAAAGGCATTTTTAGCTCTGTCAGTCTCTCTCCACAAGACTAGTCCCCTGATGGTTTCCATTGGTCCAAATTAGTCCAATTTCCCTTAATCGTTCTTAAAGTGTGGGATCAATAACTGTACTAAAAATTGGGATCTGACCAGAGAAGAATAAAGTGGAATGATTACTTCCTATTATTTGAATTTATAGTTAGAAATATAGAAAACTGACAGCAAAAAAAAAGACCTAGTGGTCCATAAACTCCGTCCTTTGGGGGGGGTTTGTATGTATGGATATATGTATGTATGTAAATGTATGTGCATATACACACACACACACACACACACAATTATGTTTTTATTTTTGTCAGATGAGTTCTGTTGATACAACAAAAAAGTACATTTAAGTCATATAATACTGCTAGCTCATCATCCATTTGTAATCAGAAACTATTCCAAGATCTTTTTCACAGTTATAATTACTATTACTATTACTAAGCCACTATTTCCCCATCTTATATCTGGGCATTCAATATTATTTTTTTCTAAGTGAAGAAATATGCATATGTCTAAGTTCAGTTTCATCCTTGTACTTTCATTCCATTTCTTTAACCTTATCATTATATTTTGAATATTATTTACATGTTCTAGCATAATCAGATTAAGTAACGACTACCGTGTTTTCCCAAAAATAAGACCTTGTCTTATATTTTTTTGAACCCTGAAATAAGCGCTCAAAAGCCCGATAGGGCTTATTATTAGGGGATGTCTTATTTTGGGGAAAACAGGGTAGTTCAATAAGTTATTTGAGAAAGGCTTTTTTGTATACATTAAATATATAAGGCTAGTTTGTATGGGTTGTAGTATCTCAATATGTTGCTTAATAGATTATCAAAACTTTCAGGAGTTCAGTTGAAATCTTACCTCAATCATAGATTAAGTGGAGAACCAGAAGGAAGCCTACTTTGGCTTCCATGTGCCCTGTGAGAGTAATAAAATATTGACTCTCCTTAAAGTACTATAAGGAATATACGATGTAGCGAATATTCTAAAGTAGTGTTTTAAGTACATGTCTTCCTTCCCCCCTCTCCTCTTCTTTTCACTATTTTGACATAAAGAAGCTATGACAACCATGTTCGGAGCATATTTAGCATATCAGTGACCTAGTAGAAAATTATAGTTTAAAACTTGAAATAGATACTAATCAGAATAGACAGATTTCATGCCACAGCAAACATGTCCTTATGTAACATCTGTTAGGACTATTTCACATTATTATTGATCAGAACCTTTATAAAAAAAGTATGTTATATATTTCATTTTGGTTCCACCACCTTCCAGGTTCTGCTCTGTCCTTTTTAATGTTAGCTCTAAACACTTTATTGAATAAAAATGATCAGACCATCTAACAGAACTTTAAATAATGAGAAATAAATGTATTTTGCTATTGTCTCTAGCGTCACTAATAAACTTAGTGTAAAAATCTATTCCTTCATACATTATGACTGATTCATCCAGACTGTAATATTTTCAATTTTTGGTGCAACAAAACTATATGACCATGCTTCCATAACATTAAATATGATGGTGGGCTCTTACTTTTATGATAGCAAATTTATCTGCTTTTCCTATTCTATGTGAAAAAAGTGTTCATTTAAAAAAAAAAAGCTTTAAAAATCTATGGAACAGATTTCAAAAGAACAGAAAAAGGCAGCCAATGTAAGGCAAGGTTTACAGCCCTAACGGGGAGGTAACCAACAACCTAACTCTGCTGTGCATAATTGATTGGGAAGCTTGATTGTACCCTCCTGCAGCCTAAGGCCATAGAATAAAATGCAAGTGGGAAATGGCATTTTGAATAAAGACAATGTTGACACAAACCTGGAGCCAGCCTCTGTATGATTAAGGTTACCTTCCTAAAAGCACCTTTCTCCAAAATTCAGTGACCTTTGGCCTTCTTTACAAGCAGAGCTATATTTTTCTACTTTAGGTAAGAGCTCAGTAGGATCAATTGCTGTATCCTGTTTTCATCAGTGCTGAAAGACCTGGGTTAAAGGTAGATTTAAGGATGTTAGCAGGACACTATTTTGAGCTGTTCATAGCAAAGTTTTAATGGTACTATGCCCAACTCAAAGATGGCCATCTCAGAGGGAACAGCTAGCTTGAAAAAGCAGTTAAGTCCCAAGAGCTTCAGATAAGAGTGTGAAACCTACCCCTCCCCTTGACTTTGTAGTTCTCTAATCACCTTAAGTAAAGAAGACTTGTGAATCTCTGTGGCAGGGAGGAGCTGATGGCCCAGTAGCCTACCCTTCTTGTGTAGACGCCTTCCACCCAGCCTTCATTACAAAATTATCATAATAAAAGGCAGTGCTTCCTTTCAGTTCTCAGCTTGATCTTGAAACTTCAGAAATTCTTCTTCATACTGTAAAACTTTGGCTTCTCTCCAGGTGAAGAATAAAAATAAATAACCCCGCCCCCACCTGCGTACACATGCATATATACAAACATAGTCACTTCCATCCCACAGTTACAATTTGGGGGTAGAAGGATGGGGGGTAGGACAATGCAAACCTGGTGAAGAGCTGAAGAACACGCCACCTGCTGAGATTTCAATGGCTCCCCTTGCTTTTTCCCCACATCAGAAAGCAGGAACTGCAGAGGGGGAGAAGGAGAGGTTTTAAAAATTCCTACAAAATTTCAATCAACCTTAAGACATGTTCCTCTGTAACATATAATAAACAAATCATAAAACGGGTTATTCCCTATAACACATAAATATAGCTGTAGATTTTATTGGCATTAATTTATTGCAGTATAAAAATTAATTACATGATACAATAATGATCAAAGGCGTAAAAAACCACTGCCTGGTGATAAATTATCTGGCCGCCTACTGTATTGCATTTAATAATACTTTTAAGTTTTGCTAACTGTACACTAGACTATTGTCTGGTTTGGGAACTGATGTTACTGTACTTGTTTTTGCCGAAATGAAAATTGGCACTTACAATAAATGACAAATCCTGTTTTATTTATTGGATATTTACATAGTGAACGTTTTATAAATCTTATGTTACTAAACTTTCTCCTTCTTTGAATATTTTTGTGTTCCAAGATGAAAATATTCAGGCCATTGACTCAGCAGGACAAATAAGACATATTAATTAGTGTTTTTTATGTATACAGTATTTAATTCCACCAGTTTAATTTGGGAGAAAAAAGAGATTTAGAGTCCTGATCTAGTTTCTTGATTCAGACTTGGATCCCTAGTTACAATTAGCTCTTGGAAACTTGGTTTATAGGATATAACATGTTGATCTAAATCAGCCTTCTCCAATCATGCACCTTCCAGACATATTGGGATGCAGCTCCAAAAAGTACCACACAAACCAGAGAGGATCAGAGAATGCATAAATTGCTAAATATTATGCTCCTTTGTAAAGATTCAGATAGTCCTTGGTTAATAATGGTAATTGGGACAGGAATTTCTGTTGCTAAGCAATGTGGTCATAAAATTCAGTCTCATGTGATCACATCACTTAGCCACAGCAATCCTAGCAGCCCCCATTGCTGTCATTAAGCGGATCATACTCGGTTGTTAGGTGATGATTCACTTCGATCCAAGCCATTTCCAGCTTGGTTCTTGAAGCCTAAAGCCTTGGTAAGACTGCTTCCTCTTGAATTTCTCCCATTCACCTATTACCACATCTCTCTCTTTATGGCTACCCTGCATAGTGGCACTCCTCAGTGAGGGAAGGGCCTAAGACTTAGTGCTGAAGTAAAGCTGGTCTCAGCCAGCTGCTGCCACCCCAAGACCTCTACTTCAGCCCCAACATTGCTGGCACTACCATTGGAATGAATGCTGCCCAGCTTCATGATGCAAAGTCATAGGCACACCAGTGCCAAGCCTAACTTCAGCTGCCTTGCACTCTGCCAGCCTTGTGCTCTGCCAGCCCTGCCACCCCCAGTCGACCTTCGCCAACTTCTTCCATCCTCCCTTTTAGAAGTATCCTTGTTTACTGAACATTTGTTCAGCAACTGCTGAAAGTTGCAACAGTGCTGAACAAGTGGTACCTACAATCTGTTCTTGAAGTTCCAGCTATTGTCACGCCTTCATAGTCATGGGATCGCAATTCAGGCACTTGGTAACTGTCTCACAATGATTGTGGTGGAACTAACAAGCCAGCAGGGAAGGTTGCAAGTCACTCTGATAATTCCCCATCCTTGGCCTCCCTGCGCATTGTGCTGCACCCTCTCTTCCTTGGCTTCCCTACACTCATACCTTGCCACATTTGTTAGCTCTTCCAGGTAAATTAGACAGGAAACAACTAGATGGGTTAATTCTTCTTTATTATAAGCCTAAATTAATAGAATCTTGCAAGGCTAAATTAACACAATTTGGCAAGGCTAAATTAACACAATCTTGCAAGTCTGAGGACCCAAACTTTCCGCCATTCAATAAAATAGTCTTTAATTCTCAACCTATACCTCTTCTGTCTTCTACGTATTGATGTTCTGATCTTAATCCTAATTTTCTCTGTTCCTACATTAAACATTCCATAACATCAATGCAGGTTGCAAGAGCTGCAAAGCAAAAAGAAAGAAAGGAACTTTGCCCTATTAAATTCAGTGAGAAAGATTTGGAGCTGTTACACCCTCACCCACTGAAATAAAGGAGCATCACAGTTCATAATAAACTAAATGTGAATAGAATGCCAATTTTATTCTTTGTTACTTGCACAGACCTGGCATATTTATTTAAGTGGTGCATAAAGTCATAGATTAATAAATACCCCTGGGTTTATAGTTTGCCTTTCTGCTAGAGGACAGGGCTTGCTAACTCAAAGCCAAGGCAAAGTTTGCAGTAAGCTTTTTCAGTCACAGATTCTCAGTTAGTGTAGAGATCCTCACCTTCATGCATTTCTTCCAGAGCACTGGGCTAGGGAGAGATCCCCAGAATTGTGGTAAAATTGAAATTAATGAGCAAGTTGATTTATTACATGCATAGGGAATATTTTAAACTGCATTAAGTACAATTAAAATTGAGCTGTCATTTCCCCTCTTTTATTTTTCTGTTCTAGGCAAACTTTTTGGAGTGTGGCCCATTGCATGTCACTCAAGGATGTCCATGGAGGAAGAGAGTGTAAAAAAAGTGACAGCTTTGTGATCAAAGTCCTACCCTGTTTTATGGGCTTCATATGATTGTGGCTATCAAAGTAACTTTTTTAACTCCACTCTCTGATGCCATCCCTTGATGACATTCAAACATTAGTTTTCTTAAACCATAGGTCTAAATAGTGAACCAGGTCTGTAGGTACCTAGCAAATGTTTTAAATACAATATTTTATTTATTTAGAAGATTTATATGGCTGCCCACTCATTTTCAGTAATTCTGGGCACCTTACAAAGAATAAATGAAATGTGTTTTGCTCCATTTTAGGGGTGATGTTTTGTATTATAGGAAAGATACTATTGAAGAATTTTATTTTTTCACCATGTTTCAAACTAGTATGTCATTTCTTTCTAAATATCAGAAGCCTCTTTTTGAAGAGAACAGGTACAATTCTACCTAAAAGTTTAACTTTTTGCTGTGTTTTTAAATATGCTCCAAACTGACACTATTGAATTCATTTGCTCTGGTATGAAAGCAAATATTTAATTTTCTTTCTCTAGAATCTACACTAAAGTACTTTGCGGTAGCTCAGTTGTGCCCGTTTTATTTGGATGATTAGTGTCATTATAAAAACTTTTCTCCAGTTACATGTTCAAGTAACTGTTATGATATCTGCAAAAGAAGATATGTATGCTTCAGTGTACACTGTTTGTATAGTGTTACATCAATTTTAAAAAAGTCTCTAAAGGGCATTTGGTTTGCAACTGCATTTCATTTTTAAAAAAGATATTTATTTTTTAATCTTAAAAAAATTAGACTGATTTTCTCCATTTCAACACAAAATGGAATTAGCCCATGGAATTTAAAGAGATTTTAAAAATTATACAATTTCCCACATCTTCCTGAATAATTCAAAAGCTTAAATTTGATAGAAAGATCATAGCATAAGAACTAACAATTTATTGCAAAGGCAAACTATGGAAAGTTATTTGTTGCCCTAGAAACCCTTAACTCTGGATTTCCTGCCTTCTTGGTGAATCCAACTTTACTTGTAAACATTACGTCAATGTTGTCCTTTGCTCATGATTAAATACAGGATTAGTTTTTAGCTAGGAAAATGCTATTGAAAAGTTTCCCTCAATTTCATTTTCCCTCCATCTCTGCTGATATGGAAAAATATTTCTATGGAGGAACAAAAAGAAAGAGGCCGGTGGGACTCTACTGCCATATTTTTTTTCCTGCAAAAAGGCTCCTTCCATGGCAGATATCTTAATGTACCTGAGACAACTAATTAAAGAAGGAAGTGGTCAAAGTCATTCTTCTTTGTAGACTTCAAAGGTGATCCCCTCGCCTTCCTCCTCTTTACATTTTACTGTCTGTCTCTCTGCAGCTGTCAGCTTACCCTGAGAGTTTCATGGCGTCAAACCTGCCTCCTCCTGCTCCATAAAGTGACAGCCTTGGGATGGTGGAATGCAGGTGTAGGAAAGGGAAAAGACCAAGATGAGCCTGCTAATGATTTCTCTGACACCCCATGCTGGGTTGCTAAAGAAAGAAATCTATGCCCACTTCTCTTTGTTTGGTCAGATATTCTAGGCTCTGCTGCCTTTCCCCGCTGCAAAGGAGCTGGGTTTTTTTTTTTTTTTTATAGGGCAAAGGCTCTATGCTAAAATGATGGCATCTTATCCAGGGTTTGAAAACTCTAAGGCTTTAATTAGATACTGAAGTGAAGACAGGCAGCACCAAAGGCTTCTATTTTCTTGATAACTTCACTTGGCAAATGCTTCATTCAGGGTTAACTCCATTGCAGCTTAGATTGGTTTGAAGAATGGAAGAAGTCAAATGAAAATCTGCTTTCCCGTGGACGTCATATATCTTGCTTCTGTGCTAGCAGAAAATTAGGGTCAAGAGTTTTCATTTCATAACTCTAAATGTTATTTTTATTTTTATTTATTTATTTCATCAAGCATGTATTTTATGATAGATACAAGTGTAAACATAATTATAAATACAAGAAAAGAGTAAGAGTAAAAAGAAATATTACGACAGGGACTGTAGGCACACTGGTGCGCTTATGCACGCCCCTTACAGACCTCTTAGGAATGGGGTGAGGTCTACAGTAGACAGTCTAAGGTTAAAGTTTTGGGGATTTGGGGAAGAAACCACAGAGTCAGGTAGTGCATTCCAGGCGTTGACAACTCTGTTACTGAAGTCGTATTTTCCTCCCTGTCTTCTAGATATGGATTTTTAAAAAGGAAGCAAAACAGCTGTAATTGACAATCCACTTACTAATCAACTAAGTCATACTGCAGACAAAGTTATCTTGCAAGTAAACGAACGGTTACATTGCATGTGTCCCTGAAACCAATGGAATATATTAGCCATGATTAAGTAGAGTCTTTGCTTTTGAGGAAAGGTAACAACCACCATTCTGCTAGGATGGTTGTATTTTATTCATACTGAAAAATCTAATCTTGCTGTGGATGGCATTCTGAAGTAGACTAAATCAGAAGAAGAAGAATTAAATTAGCCTGATGTCCCATTGGCAGTACTTTCCTCTAAACTAATAATGAAAAAACCCAGGCATTTAAAATATTTTCAAACATTATTTTAGATCCTATGTTTTTATAAAACAAAGCACAGTTGAGTTTGTTTAAAAAGACTAAAGGGCATATATTGCAAATGGTGAAGACTGCTTAATCTTCGTTTACATGTTCTATCTAGAAGTGAACATTTTTAATACTATCTCAATGTAACACAATTTAAAAAAAAGTTCTAAAGTAGTTCAAAGCAGAAAATATGTAAAAATTGTAGTGTAAATCCTACAATAAATTTAATTCAATTAACACTGTGTTATTAACACAGCTGCCTGCAATTACTGTAGGTTCGAATCTTACCAGGCTCAAGGTTGACTCAGCCTTCCATCCTTTCTAAGGTAGGTAAAATGAGGACCCAGATTGTGGGGGCAATAAGCTGACTTTGTATAAATATACAAAAGGATGAAGGCTATTGCTTAACGCATTGTAAGCCGCCCTGAGTCTCCGCAGAAGGGCGGCATATAAATCAAATTTAAAAAAGAAAAGAAAAAAAAAAGAAAAAAGAAAAACTATCAGTTTCTTCCCCAGCATCGCCCAAAGTGGGTGCAATTTGTATTGTTATCCTACCCACAGTAGTTCTTGCCTTTCCTCAGTATACTGGATGTGACACCTGGTACCAAAAGGTTTTTTTCACAAAATTCCACAACTTACACAGTGCAGATTTACTGGATTTTAGCTCCCATAGTCTCCAGCTAGCATAGCCAAAGGTCATTAGGACTAGGTATTATAGGAACTGATCCAACACATCGGTAAATAGATTGGCTCTATGGAGGCAAAATATAATACACCAAATCCTTTATCAATGGAATAAAATTTTCCTTTACTAAAGGAGTCTGCTTTTAATTCAAAATACATTCCCCACTAAGACCGACCTGTGAGGATTATCCAATTCCTCCTTTCTGCTGCTTGTTGTCCACCACTGATCACATGCTCAGTTGTTTGGCGGGCTGCAGAATTTACATGCGCTGAGCAGCTTACAACATCTTGCCAATGACATAATTACAAGGCTGGGAATTGGGATTTAGATCACACTCATTGCATTGCGCAGCTTGCATAATTGTGATATGGAAGAGTTCATTCTAAAAGCTTAAAGGCAAACAGGTAGACTTCAACTTACAGCCATTTGTTTAGTGGCCATTATAACGGCACTATAAAAAGTGACTTATGGCAATTTTTCACACAACTGTTGCAGCATCCCCGTGATCAGGTGTCAAAGTTCAGGCGCTTTGCAACTGACATGTATTTGTGACAGTTGCAGTGACCTGGGATCATGCTATCACCTTTTGTGACCTTCTGACAAGCAAAGTCAATGGGAAAGCCAGATTCACTTAACAACCATATTACTAACTTACCAACTGTCGTGATTCATTTAACAACTGTTGCAAGAAAGTTCATAAAATGGAACAAAACTTGCCTAACAACTGTCTTGTTTGGCAACAGAAATTGTGGTTGTAAGTCGAGGATTTCTGTATTTCTATCAGCTCTGATTCTTTTCAGGTTTTGCACTTGGAAACAGTTACATAAATCATCATACTTCCACACTAATTTATGAATCCTTTTTCACACTTACAACTGCTGCAACATCCCCCATGGCCACGCGATCAAAATTCAGTTGCTGAATTTGGCAACTGGCTCATATCTATGATGGTTGCAGTATTCCAGGATCATGTGATCAACTTTTGTGATCTTCTACAAGCAAAGTCAATGGGAAGCCAGGTTCACTTAACAACCATGTTACTAACTTAACAATTGCAGGGTTCCACTTAACAACTGTGGCAAAAAAGTTCATAAAATAGAGCAAAACTCACTTAACAACTGTTTCATTTAACATCAGAAAGTTTGGGCTCAATTGTGGTCATAAATTGAGGATTATATGTATAGCAAACCAGTGGTTCGTTTAACGATCTTTACAACATGCTACTGTACTGGGCAGGCTCCATTACGGTTATATGTTGAGGATTACCTGTATACATAGCTTGTCAATGATTAGAACCACTTAATGAGGGTGAAGATATTGCATAATTTATTGCATAATCTGTCTTGTAGACTGTGTTTTATATTTATGCATCGCTAGCTACTCAGCAGACAACATAGTTCATTGCATGCCTATGTGGACCACCATCCTATTTAGGTATAAGTGATTTAACTTTTCCACCATTTCTATTATTAGCTCTTCAGCATGAATGTTTTCAAAGTATCTGGAATGTTTGCTGCATACTTGAAAGAACCACATTCTTAAATTATTTCTTCTCAATTTCTGTTGTTAGCTGTCAACTTAGTTATTACAAAACATATTGTGTAATTTTGATATATGTCTCACTATTAAGGTATAAACATTCTAGCATTTATGTACTAATATGGCTTTATCCTAGCCATTCAAATATTGCAATCTCATGTGAATATTCTCAGGCAACAACTATATACCCATATTAACTTGAGAATATCTTGAGGTGAACAAAATCTTGCCCCAGAAATCTTCTGCCTTTTTATTCTTTATGGCGATCAGTTGGAGGCCAAAACATAGCAAAACTGAGAAATTGAAGAATTCTTCTTTGAAAGACAAAAAATGCTAAATTTAAAGAGGAATAGAAAATCTATCTTGGTAGCAGAACAGAAGGCGACAGAATTCTAATCACACAAAAGAAGGGAAGAAACTGGCCCAAATAATTTATAAAATATAATAATATAATTATTAGCCGACCTTGCACATATTTTCAGCATTCAAAGTCCTTCATGCAACTCTGAATTTGTGATCACAGCAAAATCTCTTTTTGAATGGTTAAACAATATTTTATACAGCAGCAAAATGTTAGCTGTCCCATCATCATTCACCAGCATTAAGCCAGTTGTTTCAAATGGTAGAAAGGGCCAATTTTTCTTCCTCTTACCTTGGAAAACATTTGTTCCATTTGCTGTTGGCTCTTCATCTTCATTTTTGTAGGAGTTGATGGGCAGCAAATATCCACAGACTGCAACAAAAGAGTCTGCTGTGAAAATTAGGAGGGGGACAATGAATTATTATTTTTTACTCTTAGAGAAAACTAGAATAAAATTAATTCATCCAGTAGCAAAGACATCATTCATTATGAAAATGCAAATTTGTTTAAGCCTTTCACTTGAAAAATAATAACTAAAAAATAAATAATCTGTTCACAAATACAACTATTTTAATTTTATGAGATTAGGATAAAACGTAAGTTTATATAATGCGGTGCACTTCATCAATTTTGTTTGTTCCTACATATTTGTTTCCATAGTATTAAAAACTCAACATTAACATAAACTTGATTAGCCCCTCTTAACCAAGGGAACTATATACTCTGCTAAGTACTGACTATTTTCTATTAATGGGTTTTGGAAGAGATTTATACAATGGACCTGCACAGATGTAATGTTCAAATATATATTTTCAAGTGGAGGTTTTTTTGACAGACTGCATCTAGTGCCACTTAAGCAAGACTTCCATTTTATAATTGCAAATCTTTTTTAGCAATTACCCCACCTAATTGTCCAGGTTAGATGTGAAATGGATATAGGAGATTGGCATGGGAAGAAAATCTGTTCCATTGGATATGTCCATTCATCAGCAAATGCGGAACAGTGCATACGTTCCTCATTTTTAAAATTACTTATAATCATTATTTCATTATAGCCAATACAATAATTTATAAAATGCAAAACAAATGGAAGCAAAAATAGGATTGAAATTAACTGTAGCCTTTCTTTTTCAGCAAGGAAAATTGTTAACAATAATAAAAGTTATACTTAAATATGTTGATTTACTGAAAACAAACTTTCCTAAACTGAGATATTCCAGCTAAGAGGTTTGGGACTCTAAGGCTACATCCACCCAGTTATTCACAACCCTTAAAAAAAACCAAAAACCCTCAAGTAAGAGTAATTGAAATTTGTACCACAACCTCTGGGAAGTATCAGATTCCCCACTTTTAGTTTATTGCTATATTATTGCTCCAGTTATTGGAGAATATGCTAAATGGAACTTCCCAAAACAAACAAACAAGAAAATCCCTACACAATTCCATTATTCTGTTTTCAGGATTCTGGAAAGATGAAGAAGTGCATGACAGGCAAACTTGCATGGACTGAGAATGAAACATCATCAGTATTTCAAGAACTGCAGATGTTATGAAGTAGGAACAAGGGAAACAAAAGGGATTTGTATACATGTCATACATTTATGTAAAGAGATAAAGTGCATTTCAATTTTCCTCTTAGACCTTATGAATATAACCTGTGAATCAGTGCTTTTATCCTATGATGCCATCGCACATGGGTGTAAATACAGTTCATTCACTGGCCAACTGAATGGATATTTCAGGCCTTTGGAGAATGCATGGCAAACTAACGTAATCATAAATTAGAAAGGAAGAATAAACCAAACAAGGTTTCAGGAGGACTCATTTTTTCAAAAGAGTGACACCTATGAACATAAGCTTGCTTCTATTTCAGGGGAATGTCACAAAAATTGGTATGAAAACAATATATTGGTATCAAACTTGCAGAAAAGGTACAGCTGTGTAACTATGTTACCGGTAATCCAGTCCAGTAACACATTTTCATAATTTAAAAATTTGTAATTTGGAAGTCCTAAAAGGAAATTACTTTGTTAAAAAAGCAGCAACATTTGCAAAAATTTAAATTAATTGGAGATTGTTTTCCAAACACATTAGTTCACAAATCTAAGATTCCTATTAAGTCACAAAGTTGTTGCACCTTGATTTTGCCTAAGTAGAACATCTACTACTATAAACATCTGTGTTACAACAGGCTGTTTAGTTTAAGCACAACCCAGCTGAACAAAGAGAGGACGGCATATTACTCTTCCCAAATCTGTGGCACATGTATTTTACACTTCTATTTTACACTTCCATTGTAAACAATACATTTCTGTTCTTTCTTCTCACATACACACATGGTTTACAAATAGAACTAAACAAAATGCATGTAATTTATTGATTCCAATCCCAAAAATCACATATCTAGTAACAGCCCAAACTTGACTTCAAGTATCTTAACTACAAACAGAATATACTATCAATAGGAAACTTAAGAATATTACAGTCAAGGCATGAAATGCCCAAGTTCTAAATCCTTTAAATGAGGATTTCAGTAACAGAAATTGAAAATTATTCTTGCAGTTTTGAAGAAATGTCAACATCTTATAAGGGAAGCAAGACAACCAGAGACAAAGAGTCTCCAAAATGTGTATTTAGTGTATTTTCAAAAACAAAAGATTTTGATAAACCAACAGATGAAAAAGTTGGTAAGGCAATGAGGAACAGAGATTTTGGGAACACTCAATAGTGGAAAAACAGGTTGGGAAGAAGTGCAAAAAGTTGGTGAGCAAAACTGAGTTTCAAGAAACAAAAGTCAAGATGAAAAGCAAACTGCAAACTATAGGCCACAAAGAATCCTTTCAAAGAATGGGAGTGGTGAAGCAATAATATTTTCAGCAGGTACAGAAAAGTAGCAGAGATTTGGGGCTTGGGTATTTGGGTATTAAGAGGCACAAGAAAAATAAAAGAAATTTGCTCCGCACTAAGCTTAGAACGTAATTGGACATTTCTCAAACTCAGACTGGACCAAACCACAATCATGCTTTCTGGAATTCATGAACACATAAGAAGCTGAAGCCAAGGTTGGAGATGAAGAAAATCTGAAGCAAAGAGTTAAATAAGATTTTTTAAAAAACTTTAGCTAGAATTTTTTAGGGGCAGGAAGACAGAATTAAAGTTGAAAAAAGAAGATGGAGATAACAGAATTAAGGGATGAAAGCAAGACAGTGAAAGCAAAGTTAACTAGTTCAGAATGGGAGCCTGGGGGAAGAAAGAGAAAATGCTCACAAAATTCATATAAGATCTCACCAGCCTTTTGGTGGAAAATGGAAAAACATTTTTACTATGCTTGTATTGCATCTTTCCATTGAAGCATGAAGTTCGTTAGCCAAAAGAACAGCAAACATCTGAAAGCTAATTAATAAACTGTTAACATCCCTGTTAAAATTTTCTTTTTTTAAAAAAAATCATGATCTACATCCTTCTAAAAAGTTAAATAAAAAGAGATAGCTAAATGGGTTCCTCATAAGGAAGGCAGTTCCCTAGATAGTCCTACCCCAACTCATTTGCTATTTTAAAAGATTAAAACACTGGTGACTAGGAGACAATTGCCAGAGACAATTGATCACCAATGCAGTTTCATTACAGGCGTGATTTGATTACCATACTATGCACGAGTGAGCAGCCTAACTACTGCAATTTTTACCCAACAAAACTTCTGGATACTCTTATTTTTTTTTAATAGCACATACTGCAGCATTCTACTATCATGATGGAGCCAAATCATGAATAAATGTTGCAGGATCTGATTGATTCATGAATAAGTGCATGACTCTGGGGTATGAAATTGTACTATTGTCTCTCTGGTCCTTGGCACCCCATAAAGATCCTGACTGCTCAGGATCAAGAAGTCTGGATCCACGGCTACAAAACGCATTGCAGCATATTCAAATCACAATCTGACACTAATCCAACATTCTCACTTAAAAACATGAAAGAAATGCCGGTGAGTAAGGCAACATCAATTGCCAGAATAAAACAAAGCACACAATATACCTTGAAACATTATTGGGTCTTTTTCAAAAACACTTGTTCTCTGAGCACACGTGGATTGTATTTCCCCAGTAAGATAAACAACGCTCCTGGGTTTGTCTCTCATCCCTTCAGAATCTTTTTAGTGACAGATTTTTGCACTAAGCAGTCAAAGTGTGCCAGCACTGGAGTGAGCGATACTATTGGTGTTAGCTGCAGCATGCTGATACATCCTTGAGAACTAGCACATCATTAGTAATACCTTCACAACTAAGGTCAGATGGCACACAAAGCAGTATATCCTAAAGGCAAGTGTGTAGAAAACATTTAATTTAAGCTCTTTAGCATTGGTTCTCTTGAATTGTATATACAATATGCACATATGTATGTAAGCATGTATGCGTGTGTGTGTACACATACATATACACATACACACAAATCTACTTTTAATATAGACTAGTCAATTGGAACCATACTCCATCTCACAATGTTACTAGAATCTGTCCATCAGTCCAATTAAGAATTGCATTACAATGAAGTTACTAATAGGCAAAAGGTAAAACATAACATTTGTCCATATACAGTTTTTGTTTACATCTATCACTTTGTCATACAAGCACTATAAAATAAATTTTTAAAAGTTGTCAAGATTCTGCAGAGAAACGTGAACTAGAGCTAATATCCTCTGTTCACATTAAACTCATAGACTGGGATGAAGAATCTCATAATCTAACTCAAATTTACATTTATATTTAGTTTTGAAACTTGCAGTCCAATTCAATAATTTTCTTGCATCCCTGAGTAATGCTTCTTATCATACAAAGAACTAAATATTCTCTTTTGGGAGTCACATTTATAAACTAAAATTTGAGTGTTTGCACTAATAATTGACTTGTCTACATAGTCAATTATTGTTATTGCAAAACAGTTTTTTTCTCCTAATTTTAGCTAGTTGAATCCTTCCTCACCATTATTATCAAACTGTATATTTCTATAGCGTATCTGAGATTACTATTAACAGATTCAGAAACACATCAAAATTGAGAGTTACCGATTTTGTGAAATTTTAACTATATATATTGACTGGGTACTCTTGGAAACACACTGTTACGTGTACTTCAGACTCTGCTCTATTCTGGTAAACTATCCAATTGTGTTGGAGGCTTGGAGCCAATAGATGAACTGGGTTATTCTAGATTTCTAGTCTCAAAAGCTCTGCAGAAAAATAAACTGGGAAAGACTATACCAAGAGACAAGATATAGCAAATTATAATAAAATAGTCATTAAATGATCTTAAAAAATTACGGCTTTTTTAAAAAATGTGCCTTAATTCTGAAAAAAAGGTTGTTTCATATGTGTGTTTATCAGGCATATTTTT